GATTATAAAAAAAAGTTTTATCAGACGAATTAAATATTCGTCCATAGAAAATGAAGAATAAATAATTGCGGTTTTTTTGAGCTATAGAACTCCTAGAAATGTCAAAAACTGAAAGAGGAGATAGATTTTTTCTGTAAAAAACTTTCAAAATGACCATTTTTGACATTTTTTTCTTCCGGAAAACGACCATACATGAATCTATAACCACTAATTAATTTTTTAAGAATCATTTGAATCATCTTAAATCTCCACAAAATCAGATAAAAAATTCTGAAATTATGGTTTTAGACCTGCAATTGTGATCGCGTCAAACTTTTTTCTGTAGATCAAAAATTAATTTGCAGTTCGGAATTGTTCTGTGGGAGAGCGTGCAATTAGTGATTTTTTCACAAAAAAAATTTTTGAGACTTTTTTTTCGGATGTTTTGAGTTCTAATGAACTTCGAAACGTATCTCATTTTTCTAGATTTTTCAAAAATTCAGAATTCTTGGGATATGCATAAATTATCCAATTAAAAGTTGGAAATTTCAAAATTTCAGTTCTATTTAGAAGTACAATATTTTTTGAGATATCTGGAATTAGAAGAAAAATACGCCTTCTGGCTATCCGAGTTCATTTTGGGGTTTTGTGAATGTTGGCGGGATCAAAAAAGAGACAAAATAGAAATACAAATAGCTCAAATTTAGGAATTTTAAACATGAAAATCAAAACATAGAGATCATTCTTCAATATTGACCTTGTTCTCCAGCGCATCTGCCACGTCTTCAGCTTCCTTTTCAGGTTCCTTCTCAGATTCCTTCTCAGCAGCCTCCGCCGTCATCTCCCGATGCTTCTTCTCCCGTTTAATCGCTGCCTTCATCTCCTTGTTCATTTCGGCGTTCATTTTTGAGAAAACTCCCGTCTTCTTTTTTTCGAGAGCCTCTTTGTAAGCTGGATCCGTCGGTGGCTGAACGACGTCTTTGAATTCGTAGCGTCTGGAAATTCAGAATTTGTGGAATTCAAAAAATTTCAAATTCCTACTTTTTATCATCCTCATCCTGTGTGCCTCTCGGAAATGAGCATTCGATATCCAGCGGATACGATTTCTCACTATCCCAACCACTCAAATCGCCACAAGTCACAAATCCATCGATAACGTCCGCAGTAACATTGTCTTTGATCTCCAACGACGTCTTATTCATCGTCGGAACGAATCCCTCTGGTGGCGAGTAGTCCAGGCAAAGGACAAAAGCCTCACAACTGGATTGACGGGAACTTCGAGGTTTCGCCAGGTAGACCTGCTTGAAGTATCGTTTCATTTGAGCGTAGAGAAGCGATGAATTCCGGGAGCGGAAGATCTTAGCCAGGAAGTTTCCGCCGTTCTTCAAAACGTGGCTTGTGATGTTGAAGGCGGCCAGGATGAGCTCGGCTTGCATGAATTCGTCAAGAGAGTGGATTCCCGTGACATCTGGAGCGCCGTCGCAGATTACGATATCCGCTTTTTCGCCAGAGAAATGTTCAATGACCTGGTTGGCAGTCTCCACTGATGTGATGTCTCCTTGCAACTGGATAACCCCTGGAATCGGCGCCATTGGCTGCAAATCGATTGCCACAATTTTCGCCTTCTCGTCTTCTTCGTAAAGACGTTTCGAGAGCACTTGGGACCAACTTCCAGGCGCTGCGCATAGGTCGACAGCACGAGTGACGCCTGAAAACATATTTTTTTATGAAAATCGGCAACATTTACACTTTTTTTGCTGAAATTTCTTAATTTCTTGTTTTTTAATCAAATTTAAGACTTAGACTGGAACTCCTTACCGGAAAACAAGCATATAGTTTTAGGCTTAAAAAAACTATAGTTAAAGCTAAAAGCTGAAGATCCTGGGAAAAATTCCAGTTGAAAATTACTGAAATTCCCGAAAATCAGCAAACTTTTCACTTTTTTAACTGTAAAAACCTTTCAAAATCTGAAATTCATCATCAATCTGCATCAACTTGAACGCGCTCCGTGCTCGCCATTTGTTCTCCTTCGCCAGACGATAGTAGATGTCTCTCTTGTCACGCGAGGTTTTTCCCATTTTGCTGAAAATATTTTTCTTCTAAAAATGTACAAATTTAATGAAAAAATCGACTTGAAATCCCAAAAATATGTCTAAAAATCCAAAATCGACCAAGCAACGACACTCCGAAATAGCGCATGCGCGCGCGGTTTAGCGTAAATCGACAATCCGCTGAAAATTATTTTTTTGCTGTTGTCTGGAATTTCGCAACAAAACAGGCCAAGATTAACCGTTTCTAGTCGGAATTTCTTCCAAAAATCAGCTAAAATGAAGCAGTTCAAGCGAGGAATCGAGCGAGATGGTAGTGGGTGAGTTTTTTTCTTTTTTTTCGACAGGAAAAATTTATAATCGGAAAATGTTAGATTTGTGGTGTTGATGGCAGAAGAAGCCGAGGATATGTGGCACATCTACAATCTAATTCGAGTCGGCGATGTGATAAAAGCATCTACGATTCGAAAAGTGAGTTTTTGAGTTGTCCAATCGTCAAGTTCAATTTCCAAGTTCTTCAGGTTGTCTCTGAAACCTCCACCGGCACCACATCCTCCCAAAGAGTACACACGATGCTTACAGTATCCGTAGAATCAATCGATTTCGATCCAGGAGCACAAGAACTTCATTTGAAGGGCAGAAACATCGAGGAAAACGATATTGTGAAGCTTGGCGCCTACCATACCATAGATCTCGAACCGAATCGGAAGTTTACACTGCAGAAGACAGAATGGGATTCTATTGATTTAGGTGTGTCCCAAAATTGAGTTTCGATGATTTTTTAAGATTTTCAGAACGCCTAAACCTCTCCCTGGATCCTGCACAAGCCGCTGACGTGGCAGCTGTTGTTCTTCATGAGGGACTCGCCAATGTATGCCTAATCACACCTGCGATGACACTGACACGAGCCAAAATCGATATGACGATTCCCAGAAAGAGAAAAGGGTTCACAAGTCAGCATGAAAAGGGTCTGGAGAAATTCTATGAAGCAGTCTGTGTGGCGTTTATGCGGCATGTCAATTTGCAGGTAGTATTTTTGAAAAAATGTATAGTTTTTAGTTTTTTTATGCAGAAAATCCTATAGATTCACATAAAAATGAGGGAAAAATTAAAAAAATTGTGGATTTTTTTGAATTTTAGGTTTTTCAGTTTTCTCGGATTTTTCGGGTTTATAAGTATAAATTCAGGAAGCTTTCTGGTTCCCAGCTTCAAAAAGCGAGTTATAACCATTTGAAGTCGGTGGCCTAGTTTCCTGAAATTCATAAAAGTTAGGCCACAACAAATATTTCTGGGAAGCTCTTGTTTTGAGAAACTCATACCAAGTTTCAAATTTGAAAAATCTTAATTTTGAAGAGAGATATGACCATTTTAATTTTGGACAATAGTGGCCTAGTTTTGTATTTCTAGGCCACCAAATTTTTAGTGACTATAACTTGGCATAAAATGAAGCTTTTCCAAATCTGAAAACGGCATCAGAGTTTGTAGGAATCGCTCTTTTGATTCGTCAAACTTGTGGCCTAACTTTCTCAAAACTGAGTTTTCTAGGCCACCAAACTTCAAATCGCTATAACTTGGCTCAAAATTGATATTTTTCAAATCTAAGAAGTTAAGGATCTAAGAATCTAAAAATCTAAGAATCTAGATATCTAGGAATTCAAATTCAAAATTTGATTTTCAGGTCGTAAAATGTGTGATCATCGCGAGTCGTGGCTTCGTCAAGGACGCATTCATGCAGCATCTGATAGCCTACGCCGATGCGAACGGCAAGAAATTCACGGCGGATCAGAAGGCGAAATTCATGTTGACGCATTCGAGTAGTGGATTTAAGCATGCGTTGAAGGAAGTGCTGGAGACACCACAGGTGGCCGCGAGGCTAGCAGATACCAAGGCTCAAGGAGAGGTGAAGGCGTTGAATCAGTTCCTGGAGCTAATGTCTACAGAACCGGATCGTGCGTTTTATGGTTATAAGTAAGTCTGATTCCAGTCACTATTCCAGCTAAATGCTCTTTTCCAGCCACGTCTCCCGCGCCAATCAGGAGCTTGCCATCGAGACCCTTCTCGTCGCTGACTCCCTATTCCGTGCCCAAGACATTGAAACCCGAAGAAAATACGTAAAATTGGTGGAAAGTGTGCGAGAACAAAACGGAAAAGTGCACATCTTCTCGTCAATGCACGTTTCGGGAGAGCAATTGGCGCAGTTGACAGGTTGCGCTGCGATTTTGAGGTTCCCGATGCCCGATTTGGATGATGAGCCGATGAGTGACGATGAATAACTTTTAAAATGTCTCTTTTGTTAATTTTTTGAGGAGTGTTTTGTACAAAAGTCGCATGTTCACCCAGTTTTGTTGCCACGTGTTTTTTTGTAATAAATTGTTTTTTTTTCGGAATGAGAGCCAATAAAATATGGGCCAACGACGCGTGGTGCGTTGAGAGACAACACAATTTCGTTCGCTGTCGCCCAGCGCCGCTCTTCCTTTTTTGTGTATGTGCCTGGAATCAAACACAAACACAGGAAGAAATTTTTGATTGCGTCATCGATGCAGGACGTTCTGCAAATGCTCCAGATGGCGGCTCGCGGGAGGAGGCAGTGTTAGTAATTTTTCCCGAAATTTCCGTTCTTCTAAACGAAAAATAGGCGGTTTTTTGCCTTTTTTACCTCAATTTTTTGGTAAAAAAATACGAAAAATTATTGAAAAATCACAATTTTAGCTTGGCTACTGTAGCTGGCAAAGTCTGCACCGTGTTTGCGGACTCGGTGCGAAAATGCTAAAAAAATAAGTTTTCGGTCACCGGAAATTAATTTTTAAGCAATTTTTCTGCGATTTCCGTTGTCTACGCATTTTTTATCGATAGTCACACAAATTTTTGTCTTCTTTCGTTGATTTTTTCTTGATTTTCGAGAAGGAAAAATTAAAAAAATAATTTTAACTTGATTACGGTAGCTGGGAAAGTGTGCACCGTGTTTGCGGACTCTGCGGCGGGAGTTTCAAAAAACGAAACCTAAATTTTTCTAATTAATTTCTAACGCTAACTTTTGCCGCCTATTCAATGGGTTTCTTCAAAAAGAAGACTTATCCTGGTAAGTTGGGCACTCTGTCCCTCTCATTGAGCACTGCTGCTCTTTGGCAAAGGCTCTCTCCTCTGCAAAAATCGAAAAAAGAGGCAGCAGAGAAAAAGAGAATGTTTGCCCTATTGCGAAAACCACATAGAAAAAGGATGCGATGATGATTCATCCTTCCTTTTTTTCGCCTTCCTTTCTAGAAATGTATTTCTTTTTTGTTACATTTTTAAGTCAACTTTTTCCAGCAACCACTACAGCGACCATGTCAAAACCAACAACGCCTAGCGATGCTCCGAAAGCCGATGAGCCAGATTTCTATCAGCTGTTAGGCGTGGAAAAGTCGGTAAGTAGCTGAAAAAGAAGCCATAAAATCCTTAAAAATCAATATTTAGGCTTCCGAAGCCGAAATCAAGTCGGCCTACCGAAAATTAGCCCTTAAATACCATCCGGATCGTAATCCAAACGATGTACACGCTCAAGAGCAGTTCAAAAAGGTCTCTATTGCCTATTCGGTGCTCTCGGACCCCAATAAGCGAAGACAGTACGATGTGAGTGGTCCGTCAGAGAATCAGCTGGATTTTGAGGGTTTTGATGTGTCGGAAATGGGTGGAGTTGGTGAGTAAAGTCTTCTTTGTGTTGTTTGAATCAAAACTTTGAATTTTTTAGGCCGCGTTTTCGGAGCCCTCTTCAGCAAACTCGGAGTCCCAATTCCCACTCAAATCGTCCCCAAAGTCCTCGCTCAAGCTCGCCAAATCTGTCTGGGGCAGGAAAGTGACATCCACGCAAGGCCGCTGGCCCCAGGAGACACTGTTACAGCTTCTGTGAGCAAGCAACATGCGCATTTCTATGAGATCAATATGCTGGAGGACTTTAGAAAGAATGGAGTGGCGATCATCTGCAAAAGCTCGTCGTCCAAATTCAAGCTAGTGCTTTTCGATAAGGAAGGAGGTGTGCGGATGATTCAGGAGTCCGGGAAACGTGGAAAAGCTGGAACCCAAGCGGATATGTTCTTTGTGCCTTACAACGTCGCGAATATTCAAGAATTCAACCCGATGAAGTATCATTTGGAAGACAAGGATACGCCGATAGCTTTCCACTATTTGGATTCGTTTGAAATGCAAACGGCGACACTTTTGGAGACCCGAAAACACTATATTGCTGTATATGGTGACAATTGGATAAGCGATGTGAAGTACTCTATAACCTTCTTACCGGTGGCGGCAGCTGCTAACGAGCAGCTTGTGGAGATTCAGGACACCGAAAAGGCGATATCCGTGATAAAAAAGGAAATGCTAGACTTCCAGAGAGAATTCACAGAAGCTAAGCGCAAATACGATGAGGCGGTTGCTAAGCTCAAAGTGCAGGACGACGTTATCCTGAAGGCCTTGTCGACCCGTGAGGATCTCTACAACGACGTCGTCAGGCAGTCTCAGGAGCCGTATAACAAGAAAGTGTCGCCGTCGAAATCGTCCGGCGGATTTTTGGGCGGATGGTTTAAATAATTTTCCTTTAAATAGTTGTGAATCTTGGGTCCTTCTAATTTATGCTTTTTTGTTCATATAGCGCCTCAGATCTCTCCTCCCTCACTAGTTGTTACTCCCTTTTTCTTACAAAAATTGACTGTGAAATTTTAAATTAAACAATTTTTTTGCCTTTTTCCTTTTCTACATGAATTACAGCTAATTTTTCTGCATTAATGAATGAGTTCAGAAATCTTGTGATACACTGATAAGGACATTCTCCGTCCGAAAACTAGAATTTTTGCAGAAACTTCCGAAACTTCCAACTCAGCTCCCCATGACGTCACTCCGAAATACGAGGAGGCATTTCGCAATAACAACAATTTGTCTGCGTCTCTCCCCGCCACACACTCTTTCGAGAGGAGCAACCGCGTTGCGGTCGCGTCGCGGTTTGTCGACGTTGCTTTAACGGGGCGACCAGTCGAGTTTCCTCACAACAAAACCCTTTCTCAGAAGACACTTTTCTTCTATTTCACCTCAATTCGCCTTGGGCGTAAGCCCCCCTATAATATGAGCAACTATCCAAAACGAATCTATGTGCTCCCGGCACGCCAGCCACGTGTCGCTTCGACATACCAAAATATGGCACCGCCACCACCAGTCATGAGAGCTCCGAAGCGAGCCATCTCGACCGACCAGATCGTCGCCGAGCTTCTTGGAGATGATATGGGACCGTCGGGACCCAGAAAACGCGAGAGACTCAACCATTTGACCCAGGAGGAGAAAATGGACAGACGAAAGTTTAAAAATCGAGTCGCCGCACAAAATGCTAGAGATAAGAAGAAGGTAAGGGATCTGAAAGCATTGAATTTCCGAATTTTTATTATTCTTTTTTGCAGGAAAGATCTGGAAAAATCGATGAAGTGATGCGTAAGCTCGTCGAAGAGAACAACCGTCTTCGTGCCGAGAACGAGAAGCTTCGCCGTCAAAACGAGAAATTCCAATCCCGGCAACAACAACAAATGCAAATCGTCAACGAGCAATCATCCCCAGTTATGTATCAGAACGAGAACATTGTCAGCGATTCCACCATCTACTCAAACGTCGCCTACGAGGAAGAAGTCGTCGGGGAGGAGGAGGATGTTATCGTCAGTGGAGGAGTGATGGAGTATGGAGAGGATCAACGAGCCTTGAATCAGCAGAATTCATTAATGCACCCCAGCAGAGGGACAAGGCCAACGGATTCTCCACCAGCACCATCATCTCCAACACCAACGTCAACACCACCTTCCAACACCGTCGTTCGGATTCCAAGAAGGTGCCAGTCAATTCGTTTCTGACCCTTATTTCTCTCCTGTCCAACCACATGGATCCAAAGATGAGTGCCTCGACAGAATCCTTGAACACTTCAAGTGAGTTTTATCTATTTAAATACAGCGTTTCTAAATCAATTATTTCAGAGCCCATCCGAAGAGTTCGATCGATTCGTTGCTGATTACATCGAGGAAGGAGGAGACTGCTCATCGTCGTCAGCCGCAAGTGGATCTCCATCGCAAACGCGTGAAACATTTTCGCCGTGTGCCTCCCTAACGATGTCGCCGTCGATGAGCTGCAACTCGAGCAACAACGATTGGAACGACGACTTCTTCCTTCCCAACGAAAGCTGCGAGACGTCGACAGAGACCATCGAGGAAGACCCGCTGCTCACCGACCCCGGAAACTGGAACTTTGAAAATTTCGACGAAGACTCGATTGACCTAAATTTCTTCAATAACTAAGATTCTGCTTCATTTTCCCCTGCTTTTGTAGTTTGTAGCATGTGCGTGTGTCACAGTATTCTTCTCCTTTCCTCAGTCCCTTGTTGATCAAGGTACCTCTCTCTTAAACTCTGTCACCTTTTTCCTCTGGTAATTGTACAACATCCCCAACCATTCTAATTTCA